GTGCGGGATCTGGATACGGCTTTAATCGAACCGTTTTCGGTTAAGCTAACCAATTCATGTGCTCCTTCCTTGTCATGTTCAAATATTTTTTATAATTCTTTTTCCAATCTACGTTACATTTTGGAACGTTGTTTTCCGGCTTCTGGCTGTCAGCGTTTTTGGTTTTCATTATTTTTGTCTTACGTCCGTTCTTTTTACTTGAGAACGGTTAATTTAACGAACTCGTTAATAAACTGTTGGAAATAGACTTAAAATATAATTTTATTTAAATTTAGGCTTTATGCTGCTATAAAATCAACGATTTTTTTATTAATATATTTAACAATGGTTATATTCTAGCAACTACTTACAATGCAAATGTGTTCAATAGTATATTAAAACATTAAACAAACTTTTTTTTTTCAATCAGCTATTCAATTATTTCAATGTTACACAATAACTGGAGATAAAATATGATTTTATTTTATATAAATTTATAGATGTTTATAAAATATAAGTTGGATAATTTTAAAATGTTATTAAATCACATTTTTGAAAACGAAATACTATTTTAAAATACATAACTAAGTTTAAAGTAATTTGAATTTTACTAAATGTGGATGATTTAAAATTAGAAACTTCGGAAGTATGTTTCATACAAATAAATCTTCTTCAGGCCAACGAGACGAATTAGAAGGAAACCAACATTTGAGCAATAATTATGGAATCATTATAAAAGTGCCATAGGTAGATTATGGTTCTTACAGATGAACACATAGATGTTAACAAAATAAAAAAAAAGTCAGTGGTCATGATGTTTTGATTTGTAAAATGTTTGATAATTTTCAAAAGGAGTTCAAAGATTCAAAATTGCTAGTGTTAGGGCAAAAAAGGAGCAAAAAAAAAAAACTAAAATGAAAGCTAACATTAGAAAACCTTAAAAAAAAAATGGGAAACTAATCAAGAAAAGACACTATTAATTATACAAACATTTTGGCATACAACTTTAAATTTAAAATTTTTTTTTTTAATCGAAAATATTTTTTTCTTCAAAAATTAAAATTAATTTTTATTCGTTACAATAACCATTTGTCACAACCTAAAATTATACACATAGCATTATCAAAAGAATGGAATTTTTTGTTAAGTTTTAAGTTTTATTGACTAAATGTTAGATTAAATTATTATTATTTATTCATTATTAGTATTTTAAAAATAATATCAGATATCAATATATTTTAGATAATAATAAATATTAATAGCCAATGTATTTATATTTCTTAACATATCTATACCAAGAATTAATTTTAAATAATCTCTTCTATTAAAATAAAATGTCCCTAAGAGTAACAATTTTCTCAATATATTCCTTCCTTTATTTTTTCATATTCATTCACGATGTTATTGACTGTGTATATAACCCTGATAATGAATTTTTAATTTTAAATCGATTGTACTTTACAAATAAAATAATACTCCTGGCTAAGCATTTAATTATTTATTTATATATATAAATTATTTATTTATTAATATATGATTATTAATCATTTAATAATTTTTAATTTTAATTTTAATTTTATATTTTATAATTTTATAAAATATATTAAAATTATAAAATTTCAGGTAATCGTTGACAATTTTGTAATATTTAGCCATAAATATAAATCGTAAAATATCTAATAAATTATAATTATCTTTTTAAGTGTTTACTGATTATATGTGTACTAATTAGTTCACTACCATAATCATTATTGTAAGTTATAATTTGTTCACAAAATCACAACATTACTGGCACTTTGTACGTATAAAACTTAGTGTCTGTTTAAATTCACATTATAATGGTTAGTTTTTTTTAAGTTGCTTTCTTTAATATGATATTTTATTGTAGTTCATAAAGCAAATACCTGTTCGTTAGTTTAAATTTTATTTAGAAGGCTTGGTAATCTAAATAATAATATTATGCCATTATCGAGCAAGCAATTTAGCTCTACATATAATACGACAATTATGTATAGTTTTTGATCATTTGTTAAATTGTTATTAATCATCTATAATTGTGTTTAATTGTTAAACACTAAACACTAAAATACTTAATGATTATCACTACCAATTTATTTTATTTTGATAATTTTACTTATTCTTACTGCTTGTAAATAGTAAATATCATATTTAATAAATTGCAAATTAATTATTATGTTATCTGAAAATTCTTTTGGTATGTATAGAATGTTAACTCTTAAAATTCTAGGAATATTTAATTTTAATTGGTTATTTTATACTTAATTTAGTAAAATATAAATATTATTATGGGTAATATTTATGTAATTATAAGTAGGGATAGTAAAAATAATAAAACTTGTAACCCTTTCACAAAGGCGTAACTTGGAAATTTATTAGGTGTGGCAAAAATATAATTACATATCTAACAAAAAGGGTGTCTGAGGCTAAATGCCGTTTTACTACCTACGTATTATTATATAAAATTATTCATTTTCTAACATTATGTTGGATAAGAGAAAATTCAAAATTTAAAAAAAAAATGTTATAGTAATAGCTATAATCAGCTGTTTTGTACTTATTTTAAAACAAGGTATGTTAAATACCAGAAGGGGTACTGCCCTCCTAATTTTTTCTAGGGGGGCAATTGCTCCCTTGTCCCACCCACAGTTTACGTCTATGCCCTTTCAGAATTATATTACCTACTGTATTAGTTTACTGTTACTTTTGTTAGTTACTGCAGTTTAGAAAATTCTATATCTATTCCTTCGTTTTTCAAATAGACTTATATATGTATATATATATATATATATATGATACAATTGTTACAGAACAGAAAAATTATAGATAAATTATAACAGTAGACAAGTACACTTTATTTATTTATTTCAAACTGTCACTTAATTATTAGTATGAAATTACAGTCATCAACCATTTTTTTGTAATCTGTTTCCATGTAATCGCGTCGTATCACCATCCTGTGCCAATTTATTTAAACATAGGGTTGTTAAGGAGTCTCAGTGATAACAATTAAAGCTTGAATTAACTTTTACAAGAGTAAAACCAGAGATAATATGATGAATGCAGATTTTATAGGTAGTTAAAAATAAAAACATTTAAACAATTAATTTTATGAATCAAAATACAAATAAAATATTTTTTTATTTATTATTATAAAATATGCATTTTGTATACAATTATATATAAATATGCAATTCATTGTTATTTTTACTCAAATTTGCAAAATATGCAAAAAAAAATCATCTATAAGATTCTATAAAGTGGGGGATGTCGAAATTTGTGATTTAAATTATTGCAGACGAATTGTAGAATATGTATTTACATAAAAATCTTGCTCCAGTTATAAGTTACAACTAGAGGTCAGATTTCTATTCTTTTTAAGTCCTTAAAATATGATGTTTTATGTCCTTAAAAATAAAAATATTCTTTCAATATTCTGTAGACAAAAAAATTATTAAAATTACTCAGTTTAAATTTATAATTTATTAAATATTATTATTAATGTGATTTACAACATTTTTGAAAAAAAAAATTGGTTTTAATGCCAATTTTATCCGTACGTAGATTATCCCTATTATCTATAATGATTAATTTTTATAACAATCTAGAATATAAAAATAACTCACTTAGCGAATATTGTATTTGTTGATCAATATTATCAAAATTCCGATGTATGTAGTACGTGCATGGAAGTGCAGACAAATAATAGGTAAAATAACTATTAATTATTTTTTTTTGAAAAAAAAATTTATAAAATATTTTGAAACATTCTTTAACGTATTGAATATTCCCTTACCACTAAAAAATCTGCTTTTTTATGCAAAATAAATTTTTTTCTATAAATTCTGTGTTTCATGAATCGTAAAGGTATCTCAATCCCATTTAACTGCATATACTAGAAACAAATTTGTAAAATCATAAAAATCCAACCTGTAGTTATAACCAGGGCCCGTAAGTTAATGCCAAATGCAGGTTTTTTTGTTACATCGGAAAACGTGTTAAATGAGATACAAATCCGTTTCATAACCATGGTAATAAAAATCTAAAATTTAATAGAGCATGTTTTTGCATGTTATGTGTGTATTGGCATATTTGGCATTTAGTTGATTTTTTTGAGTTATAAGCGCATATTATTTTATGTAAATTCAGCAAAATCGTTTTTCATGGAAGTTAAATAAAAATTAGATCAATACATGCTTGAATTAATTCTTATTTACTTTCCTAAACATGTTTATAAAATTTTAGTATTCTATCAGTATTTTTATTTTTATATGACATTGAGTTTTATAAGATAACAGTACCACGGAAATAATGTTATTGCACACCACTATCGCCTTTCTTCTATTGACGTGTGCATTGCAATCCATCAATTTATTTTGGTCGCAATGTGTGTTTATTAATAATAATTTTAATAAAATTTAATCGAAAAAATAAAATATAACTTTTAAAAATATGAATGAATAATTCTTATTATTTTAAAAAATGCTTATATATTTTTTTGTGCATAATTTAAAATTTTTAATGCATATAAATGCATATTTTTAATTTTTAGTGCATATTTGATCATAGTGCTTATTTAAATGTTGGTGCATTATTGCATAGTTATTTTTACGTTTTTTAGTGCATGAACTTACGAGCGCTGCTTATAACTTATAAGTGCGATAGATTTTTATCTAATTAGTGCTAAATTCTGTCTACCACATTATTTTAAAAATTGCTAACCCGATAACACAAATATATATTTTATAAAAAGCAGAAAAAATTATTTCAAACATTTAGTATTATTATTAATAAGAATTATGGCATATGGAAATTAATTTCTGGGTCATATAGTTTAGGGTTAATGTACTTTTATAGTCAATGTCCTTGAGACATCCTCCCTGTAATAGAAAAATGTTGACCTAAATAATTAAAACTCTATTATAGTATGGTTCCTACGTAACTTTCGGACAACACCTATAAAAATATAATATTTATTGAGAGTACACGTATAGCTTTATTACGAATGTAAAAAAATTAGTGAGTGTTTGGCAAGGTCGTCAGTTGTTATGGTTACATGCGCAAGTACACTACAAATCAAAATAATTTCAGTATCTACCATACAAATGTACAATATTGGTTACTTGCTACTTGCACGCCAACTTTTCAATTTTTCATATTATTATTAAAACGAATTCAAATTTAGTCAGGGGATTAAATGTATTTTTACGAATTAAAATTTTATATTTTAATGTTATTAAAATTATTTTCTTAATTGTTAGTATATCAAGGTAGTATCGAAATGGAGGATGGCGGTTGGAGCGGAAGGGAAATCAAAAGCGATATGGTAAATGAATTGCTTAACAAAATATGGGATGTGCCCCAAGCACTCTAAGAAGCATAAGTGTGAGTATATTGTTTTTTATTTCTTTAAAACAGATAAATTTTCACTAATTTTTAGAATATTTATTTTTTATATTATATTTATTATTTATTAATAATAATTTACTTTTGTAATTATTTTGATATATGTGTATGCTTTTATTAAATATAGATATTAAGATATATTCAGTAAAATAATTAGTTTTTAAACTAATTATATTTTTGTATAATTACAAAAAATTACATACCTAATATACAGTAACATAGGTATATTACTATAAATTATTAACACAATAAACAGTGATATGTAATTGCATGTACTATAATATAAAACATTTGTTATAAAATTTATTATTATAAAAAACCATTTTTATCACTATATGTGTCTTGTACTCAAAAAAAAAAAAAAAATTAAAAATATAATACTTATTAAATAACACAAATATTATTTACTTACCACCATAATATTATTGTGTATTTGTGTACGTTTTTGTACAGAATGTCTAGAAAGTTTAACGTACTATAATTATAAACATATGTATAATTGCGAGTAAATTGTACTTATATAGTATTATTAGACCCGTATTTAAAAATTTGGCTTCCCCTGGCATATAATTTAACCCCCCCCCCCCCCAAATAAATAAAAATATAACACTTATTATTTCGCTCATAATCAAGATTCTTTAATATTAAAATATAACTTATACCTAAATGAAAATCGTTTAATACTTTTTTTAATTAACAAATTAAACAAATTATAACATAATAAAACATACAATTTCCTTTTTTTTTAATAAACAAATTATAATATAATAAAAACCCAATTTTTTTTTTAATTTACATATTATAACATAATAAAACATACTATTTTCTTTTTTTTATTATTTTATTTTTTTTTTCATTAGATACATCATTTTTAAAATTAATTTTGCTAAAATATTTTGCCACCACTGAGACTTGACGCCCCCGGGCATGTACCTACCCGTGCCCCCCTCTAATACGGGCCTGAGTATTGAGTATTATAGTATTTTATAGACTTATAGTATATACAGACAGAAGGTAACCTAACCTTACTTTTTAGATTTCCTGTATGTTGTAATTTTATATAGTTAAATAATTTTGTGGTTATTAGTTTTTAAGATAAAATCTGTGAAAATCGAAGTTCGAAATAATTTTATAAAATTTTAAACAATACCCATACTTAATAATATTTAGTAATTACAATTTTTTTTTCTTGGTTTAAGTTGTAGCAACTTCGGTCATTGAGAGTATGAAAAGAAATGTGATAAAAAACACATAAGAGAGCTTTGTATCTACATTTTCTGATAGTCACCTAACCAGGACCGTATAATGTCGACCACAACTTATACACATCCATTAGCTATATCTAATTTGAATATTGGTTATTTATATTCACAATAAAGTATTTTAGATGATTTGTACGTAAATTTCTTAAATTTTAATAAATTAATAATATTTTATAAAAATAGTAATGCTGTTTATATTTTCTTATTTAAATATAATATACACAGTACATTCACCTGTTTTTAATACATAGGTAGTTAGGAAAATTTAATAACTGCAAATTCAGTTTAAAATTAATATTTGCGTAATCGACATTGTGTTAATCTAATAATCTTAGTTATTGAAAAATTTCAAAATGAATACTATTTTAACTAATGTTATCCCATAAGATGTACATGTCTAGAAAGGCGCCAAAGTTAAAATATCCCAAGCTCATACTATCCAAACTTTTTTCATTATCCGTCTAACTACTTCAACCCCGTGGAATGTGAATAATGAATGATTCACTACATAGAAACTTGAAAAAAACTGCCGATCAACTAAATAAAAATTATTAAAAAAATATCATTCCACGCTATAGCAAATTTTAAATGCTTTTTTTACAATTGTCCACTCTCATTTTGAAATCTCTAAAGATATATCTTACTCCCGTCATATGAAAATATGTAATTGAGAATTTTTTACATTTTAAATAACTCGATTAATCAAGTCCTGGAGGGCTCTATAAATGGATAAATTTCTGCGTCTTTGTTATATATTTCTTCATTATTTTTGTTTATAATATTTTATTGTTATTCTTCTTTACTAATTGGATCTATAAATACATACTTGTATAGGTGTATAGTAGAGCTCTGCACGGTCCGGTCTTTTTTGGTCTTTGCGTATTGTAATTTTATGTGGTTCGGTCCGGTTCGGTCCCTTCCTCTAAAAAAAAAAAAATTGGTCCGGTTTGGTCCGTCTTCAATTCAAATTTGGTCTCGTGATTTTTACTTTTTATAATTTTATATATTTATATGATGTAGTAAAATAAAAAATAATTTCATAATATTATATTATTTTAATTTAGATTATAATGTTTTGGGATACAAAAATAGCTCATCACGTTTTTATAATAATTATTATAGTCTTGTTGTTGACATATATTCACCCTACATCTACAAATACAGGGACACGAGATAATAAATTTACTAGCATTGTGTTTTTAGTATTATTTCCGAATGTATACAAATAAGAAAAAAAAACCAAGCAATTATCATTATCGGTTAATAATCTATAGACATTTATATATACCAATTCTATGGAAATGATAACAACGAAATAATATGAGATAACCATGTATATATTTCTAGAAATTCGAATCCCACATCAATTATAAAACTATTTTTGGATTCTACGGTTAGTGCTTTTAAATTGTACTTAATTATTAGGTACGTGTTATAAAAGTAGTAATGAATATTAGTCACCGACGCAACCGGTGGGGGTCCCCGGAGTTTCAATCTTATTTTATCGAGCTGGTCCGGTCCGGTCCCGGTTTTTGTTAAAATTTATCGGTCCATTCCGGTCTGGATTTTTTTTTATTTTATCGGTCCGGTCCGGTCCTGGTCATTGTTAAAATGTATCGGTCCAGTCCGGTCTAAAAAAAAACGGACCGTGCAGAGCTCTATTGTATAGACTATAGATTTTCTAATATAAAATACAAATTTTAAATATTATTTTCTATAACAAATATTTTTACATATATGAATTATAAACATATTAATTTATTAGGATTTTTAGGCATTTAATCGGTAAAATCCATTGTTATATCTACCAGATAATACAAGTTTGTATGTTCGATGTGTATATAATGTTTATAGGGAAAACTCCTTTAAAACTATTGTACTTTTCATTTTCCAATCGTTCCCAACTCGAAAAAAGTTTTAAAATGCGAATTTTATTTTAAGTTATGTTCATTATTTTAAGGTTTCGTTGTATTTTATTTTAAAAACTCATCAATCATGATAATTAAGTGTTTCTATTTTACGACGAATTCGTGAAATTTTATAATTTATAAATATCTATAATATATATATATATATATATTTACAAATATCTAAAACACTGATAATAATCATAAAAATTTATAATATAGATTACTAAAATACCCATCTTTATTAGAATTAAATTATATTATATAGATATCGGATTTATAGCAACCATTAACTGTTGGAAAACTATTCAGTGTAGTAATATAATTTTATATAATATATTAATAAATACGAGTACATTTAAGTGCCTGCATTTTTAGTATAAATACTTTTTCTACCTATATTACTGTTTCAAAATATATTTTTTTATTATCATTGTTTATTATTTCTAATTTTCCTATTTATTTTTTTTCGTGACTATTGATGATATCATTATGCCTTCAGATATGTCAAGGTCATTGAATCATTTTGCTTATTAATTATGTATATGTATATCAGGTTTATTTACCAAATTCCAATAGCCACTCATATTTTTCATTATTATGTGTACATATTTTTTCAACAATAGCTTATACTTTTTTCTTATACATTTTCTTCCAACATATTTTCTTCGTTCCTGTCTGTAATAGATCAAATTTCACACGCGTAAATGTTAAAACCTAAACGAAACTTGAAATTAAGATTTTCTTTAAAAAAGTTTTGATTTAAACAGTTTTCTTTAGATAAAATAACCTTTATTGACTGGATCCATTATTATTTTCTTTTTATACATATGTAATTAAAGTTGTTAATGTTAGTTATAAGAACTGTTGACAATACTAAAAGTACTTTATACTATCAAAACATAATTATCCCTCGGCCTTTAAGAAAGCTATCCATCTTCGAAGTTATTCTTATTATTCTTAATCGATGTAGATAGTGGTTTTACTCATTGTAAATTTAAGCTTTTTACCGATTATCTTAAAATATACTATCTCTAATCCTGAAGATTGCTTCATACTACAAAATTAACTAAATACATTTTTAAAATGGTGTACCCATAATAAACTCAGCCTAAATGTTTCCGATTGTTCTAAAATCTCATTTTTCAAAAAAAAAAAAATAATAAAATCCCATTTGTTTACTTTATTGGAAATAACCATTTACCTGAACAATTGATCATACGAGTATGAGATCTGATATAACCCTCTAGTCTAATCTTCTTTTTTCAATTCATATTAAACTCATAAAAACACTGGGTTTCTTGTTTAAATCAACCAAATCTTTTTATGATGAAAAATACCTTATAGTCCTATATTGCTATTTCGTCCGATCAGTATTAGAATATGAGAATATGGATCCATTTTATGAAATCCAAGTACCATCAACAATATTGAGAGAATAGAAAGGATACAAAGAAGATTCGTACGCTAAACCGGATACAAAAGAAGAATAGCTAATACCCTCACTAACACATTCATTACCAGTCTTCAATTTAATTTAAAAATAGATTCCCTGTCAACTCACCGCCAAATAGTGGATATCTTTTTTTTACACAAATTATTAAATGGACTTATGTCCTGCCCCCCATTACTGGAACGCATTCCATTCAATTTTGAAACCCACCGCACTAATTATGGGCAATTCATTTCTCTAAATAGGCTCTTTACCGAAGGAAATCGAACCGAAAACCGAAACCTAACCGAAGGTTCGTAAATTTAAATTTATATTCAACCATTTAAATACCAAATAATTTATAACATATATTAAATGAATAATTGCAATAATTAAAAACAAATTTTCTTTATATATTAAAAATGTATTCCAGATACACACTTATATTGAATTATAAACATAATTCAATGCTAAATGTTTTTAAATGATTTAACACTTATAAAAATATTTAAGGTAGTAAAGCCATTATTTTTTTTTATGAAAAATGGCTCACTAAAACAATATTAAATTATAGCAATAATATGTTAGTAGGTACTGTTTTATAATTATTGTAACTAATATTTACTATAACTAAATTAGTTATGAATATCTGAATATCGACGAAACAGTAAAGTAATTCAGTAACCACGTTTTTGACCAAAATGTAACTATTTTTGGATACATCAAATTATAGTTAAAATCATTATTAAAATGCAATAATTGATGTGTTTTAATTTAATATATGAATAATTCTTGGTATTCTAGCATTTTGATGAATAAAGTAAGATTCATACACATAATAATAGTTAAATGGACAGAATAACACAACGACATAAAATGATCAACGATAGCCAATGATAGAACTATAAAAAATCTCGTTTAATAAATTTTTAAGAAAGCACAATAATTAGGTTTTCAATATATTCATTACACTTTTTTATTTCACGAATTACAATATATCACCTACCTTTTATTAAATTACTAACTAAATTTAAAGTTTCACACAAAAAATATATTTACAAATACATTTTTAAATAATTCTTGAAATATTAAAATTATATTATATTGTAATTTGTATCATTCTTCTTTACTTTAATAACAAAATAAAGATTCAAACCATTCATAAATAACAATCAGTATTATAATTTTACAGTTTATAAATGTGTATTAAAGTTATCATTGACAGTATTATAATAATTAGTTATTTCATAAAACAAATAGTAAATATTAAATATCCAGTACAGTAAAAATTATTTCACCAACATCATCGTTAATGGCTCATAAATATACAAAAATATATTACACATAAATTAAAGTTTAAAAATGGTATTGAGTTATGATTAACGCAAACGATAAGATGATAATGAATAATGATAAATAAGTCAAATTAATTTACTCAAATCGTACAATAACACTTTTATTGTAATATACACATTGTTAAACATATCATGTAGTTTATAATCAGTTTTATAATTTATAATTGATACATAAATATATAAATAATAAAATAAATAACAAATAAGTTCATTGTCGATTTTGAATAAAAAAAATAAATATTTTTTGAATTTTGTGATACTATTTTATAGGTAAATTGTACATTATTTATATGTTCCCTAGCAACTAGAAGTTTACTTATACACATGAATTTATAACAAAATAGGTCGATGCACTTGTTCAAAAAATGTTTTTTATACACAAACTGCCAAGGTAAAATCTATCAAAAAAATCAAAGTTTTAACACATGTAAAAATAAAAAGATTATTTAAATGATTTAATGATTAGTACCCGAATAAATTTAGGATATAATCATACATTTAATAATATTTTTTTTGAAAATATATTAGTAAAAATTAATTTTACATAATATCACATAATTGTTGTATATTCATGGGAGTAATTTATTATGTAAATAGTTAACATTTAGATGTATAGCTGATAATATTTGTTTGCAATTATAATCTTTAACCTTTGTTATTCTTACATAAAAGATAAATAGAAAGTCTAAACAGTTAGGTGTATTAATTATTAATGTTTGACTTCTGGCTGGTTCATATAAGTATGCTGGTAGGATTATGTTATCATAATTCGCAAACAAGGTTAAAGACTGATACACCTTAAAAATATTATAAATATTGCTATCTGCAATCCTCAATAAAAATTATTAAAAACAATCACAGTGATTATTAGGGAAAATTAAAGGAATTTGGCTCCCGTTTTAGATTTTTAAAGTTTTACCGTCTTGTTGGTAAACATATTTATTTTCGAGTTTTTTGGTATACATCATAATAGTTGAATCTGTTATCATCAAATGTTATACAAGTTATTTTACCTTAAAAAACTGAAAAATGTAATAATTAACAAAAAATACACTTATATAAATATAAGCTATATATGCACAGAACGTTCTATTTTTTGTTAGTATTGCTCTAAAAAATATACTAACATATTGTACCTATATATTGTATATATTAAACGTCTTTAAGATTTTTATCGGAACTATATAAAAACAATAAGTTACGAGTGTATTGATAATAATTTCACTTATAAAAAAAAATTAAATTAACTTTAAATTTAGATTAAAGACGGGCAAATTTTATTTTTTCATTAAACAGTACGGGTAAATATTAATTTTAAATTTTGTATTTTTTTTTTTTTTTTTTATGAAAAGTATTGTAGAATACAATATTCTGTTTTATTTGTCTAGGGTAACGAAGAAATGGGTTCTAGAGAAGCCAGCATTGAAGCATATCAAAAAGTAGAGCGTGACATCATCAGAGAAGAACAAGCTGCACCGGCTCCATCTTTGGGCCACGAAATGGCAAAACTGGATCGATTTATAGCTGATATGGAAAATCTTATGAATCAACTCAGTCAAGAACGGATCGCAGATGTTGAACTAACATCTAATGATCAATTTTCCAAGAAATATTTCAACCCTAGGTATGGGTTTATTCGAGAGAGTTTAAGTAATCCAATTAAAAAATGTTTTCCAAACTATTTAGGATTGTAGATGCAAGTGATAATGCAATTCGAACTGTCATGATAGAGTTACGAGTAAATTTGAATCAAATACTTGCGATTGAACACGAGGAATTTATAGCAAATCTTAATAGAAAAGTACAGTACAAAATAATATAATATAATATTCGTATTTTAAACATAATAAACATGGTTAAAATATGTACAACTGATAACGTTTATATAATTTTATAAAACCTATATAAGGTATATGAAAAGTGCATAATAAGTATTAATTTCATATTTATAAGATATTCGGCGATCTTCTAGCTATGTACTTTATATTGCCAAAATACTATGCTATGAGAATACGAGATGATGTATTCCTATAGAATATATATTGTACATTTATAAATTTATAATTTTTGTATTTTCAGTTTTCATATTTACTTACAAAAAAAAAATTAAAGTACTGTAGAACATCTTAAAAGTTTGTTGTTATAATATATCTTTAATATTTATTAATATAATTTCTATATTATAGAAATTATACATCGTAATAGCCATTATATGTACAAATATATTTATTGATAACTAATATAGATACAATATTTGAAAAAAATAATTTGCATTAGACTTACGCGTTTAAGCGTTAAAAAAGTCTGACATTTATTCATTTTTTTAATTATACCTATATGATTACGAGTTAATTTAAATAGAATATCTTAAAAAAAAAATTTTATAATAAATCTAAAATTATTAACTAAAAAAAAAAAATATTAATATTGCTAAATTGACCGTTATTATAGTTTATATTTACCTATTCATAACAAATACAATAATATAGTATTTTTATTAATTATAGTCAAAAATTAATTGATATTTTTTATTGAACATTTCTGAATTTATATAAATCATTAATTAATTAATAGGTAAAAGTTATTTGTGTTATTGCAATATACTCGTACGTATAAGTCTACCATGTAATATTTTAAGCAATTATTAAAAATATTTTATAACTTTAAATTCCAGTCTTTAAAACTTCACCATTTAAATTGGTTAAGTCAAATGAGAGCTAGAAGTGAGGAAGAAATATCAAAATTTAGTGAAAGAGTACAACATTTACAAAAACTTTATGAAAGTCAAGAACTAATAATAAGTAAGATTAAAAAAAATATTTTTTATTTAAATATTGATTAAATATGTATGAAAGGTATAGATAAAGATTAATATAGATTGTCTACGTGACTATGTACACATATAGCAATAATAAAAATCCAAGTACTTAGTAGCCTTTTTTTTTATTTCTTATCTGTCAAAATATGATTAAATAACTGATCGATTAATTAAATCTAATCGTTAAACACGGAACTGATATTTTCAACTTAATATTTTCTTAAAATATTACCCAAGAAATTAAATTTACAGATCACATAATTTACACTAGCAGAATCTACATTCTATAAAATTATCATGGTTTTAAAACCTAAAAAAAATTACTTAAAAAAAAAAAAAAATGGTAAATATGTTGTTACTAAATTTAGTTTTAGTATAATATATTTTTTCGTAAAATATGATAATATTTTCTATCATTCAATTTATTTATCCAGGAAACTTGGTAGGGAGTAAATCATCAAATACTGGGCAATTGGAACGGGAATTGGACAGAGTCCGAAGTTACCGAGATACGTTAGTTAGTGGTGAATTATCATGGAAAGATGCTACATTATTCGCCCAAGACTCAGCTGACTACAGTCGTATGGCATATAACAGTTGGCAATCGTTGGAAACTGAAGAGTAATGACAGAACCATTTTTTTATTGTTTCTATGTCTTTTAAACTAGTCAAATAATAGTGTACTAATTATATTGCAGAGACGAATCAATAAGATTTCGCCAAGCATTAAAAACTAGGGACTCGATCCACCAAGCTGCTTTATGCGTTCGAATGGCACAGACCATGTTGCCTGGTGTTCAATTCCCATATTGTACTTCAAGAGAAGTATTTGCTATTCTTCAAGTACATTTTTTATCCAATGAATTAACGTTTTTAGTTTATGAATATAAACTTAACAAGTTAACAACTTAACAGTTACATTTTTCATATACAGGTAATCGAATACTTATTTACTGATTTACAAGTCTCTGAACGATTTGGGCATGCTCTTGAAGTTTATAAAAGTTTTAACAAAAGAGCAACAGCATTAACTCAATGGCTGAAACAGGTTCGAGATATTTTATTCATAAACGCTGAAGAGTATTAATATACCTAAGTAAATTTCCAAAATATATCTTTTATATTTCATATTTTCCCTTATTGATTAATTATTGTAGAATAACCTATTTATCGTGAATATAATATAATATAATGCTGGGAGGGCCGAAGGGATAGAATTTCGCCAGGCCAAAATAATTATACATAATTATATATAATAAGTAATTAGTAATTTTTGATACATGTATACATAAGAACTAACATGACAATATTTCTTAATAAAATCAATATTTTTAACAATTTTTTTTAATTATATTATCAGTAAATACATTTGGTTCAACATTTCTAACTGTATGTAATGTAATACAACAATCATAGGTTAGGTTAGGTATAAGTTATAAATATTACAACTACTTTTTATGACTGATAATATTTAAATAAATAAAATGTATGTACAAATACTTGACTACAATAATTATTTTTCAATACGTAGACTACAGATGAAACTATACATAAAGACGTCGAAGAAGTCGATGAACGTATCAATGATTTAGCCAACAAATTGAGTCAAGAAAGAACCATGAATAGGGTGAGATAGTTATATTAATAAAACTGTATTAATAGCTCTTTTTAAATAATAAAGTTTTTGTTAGACAGAGTTTAGTGAGACCTATCCAAAACGGTACAATATACTAGAATCTGGGGAACGGATTACCACTGATTGGCTAGAAAATACCAAAGGACCTAAAAAAGAGTATCTTAAGCTTAATTCAAGATATCATATATGACTGGTGTATCATTTTTTCAAAACATTATATATTATATTTTTTCCTTGTATTTTGTGATTTTTTTCAATTTTTTTTTTTCAATTTAATACAATACAATTATTTATGTGAAATTTATCTTAAAAAATAATGGTTTGATATTCGCTTGATTCAGTGGCGTAGGTATATAGGAAAGGGGAGCAAATAAACTAGACTACTTAACTAATATTATCTTTATATGAACATTTAAAGTAAACTGTTTTTTTTTATATATATATATATATGAATACTTATTGTAAAACGATAAAAGAAAATATTTAATAGTTGTACAAAGTAAAAAGGAAATCCAGTACATTACTTAAAAAAATATATTTCATAGTTCGTGAATTATTATTCCACTTTAATACTGATTGTGATTGGAATTATGACTTATGATTTGGAAATTTACTGTAAAATATATAAACATTATTAATTATTTTAAGGAATTATCATAGGTGGATATTGGAAGGATTTGGGGGGCTTAAGCCCTCCTGAACTAAATCAAAGCACCAGGCGTCAAAATAAATTTTGAATTTTAATATTTGATATTTATCACTTTTATTTTATTTTGTTGGTATGCCAGAATTGTCAGGAATATTAACGAATTATTGTTATCGGAGAAAACCATATTTTGTGGGTACTAAAGGAAATAAAGGAAAAGATTTATACAGTTAAAATGTTTAAAAAAATGAGTAGTTATTCAATATCTTCTATTTTTATGTTCCTATTACCTGTATATATTTGGTACCTCAACTAGAATAAAGTAGGAGTAGCCACTAGTTAATTAGTTGGGCATGACCGTTTTCAATCAAAAACGTACCCTTCCCTTTTCGACCAAAACAAACATTTTAAATAATAAAATAATGATGTACGTACATTTCTCGAATTTTAGTTCGATAAAAAATTGTAATAGTTCGGTTCGGTTCAGGTTTATTTGGATAATTATAAGTTCCGTTCGATTCGGGTTCGTAATACATTGACAATGTTCGGTTCGATTTCGGTTCGACATCGAAAAATCAGGCTCGATCCATCACTACTTGGGACATATAATGAGTTGAAAAATATATTATCACTGTCTTAGTGGGAGCATCTTAAGAACTCAATTATGTTGAGTGCGTGGTGTACGTAACAATCTATTTGTTAGCCATTGGTCAATACTAAGATCGAAATATTTGGTAAATGCTTCAAATTATCAACTATACTCATAACATAGGCATAGCCAGGAGGGACGCAAAGTATTAAACCGCATACCCCAAACGCCTATGGAAATAACAAATTATATTATACTTTTTTGGAGATTGCTATTTTTTTTTCTTATAAGCCCATTTTTGTACATATTTGCTCTATAGCATTCTTACATATCCTGTATACGAAGTTTAGCAACGCGTATGACTCAATATAATGTTCATCATCGTGTTGTTCATTTAATAATTATACATAATTTTGTAATATTAAGACTTTGAAATTCCGTACGAATACTTATCGGGGAACTTATATCTAGTGCAGAGACTAAAGATGGTTTAGCCAGCTAATGATTTTACTGGACAACTCTATTGGCGGACATCCAACAGTAAGTCGTGTTATAATGCGTAAAGCATTGCAGTAGCTTAAGATATTTCCAACACTTGTAGATGTCCTTGTCGGACGGCTGTTATTAAGAGTTGTTGTTTTAGTAGACACTTACGAATATATAATAAAATTGCGACTGACAGTATTTTGAATTATTAGAAAATCGGAGATTGTTCGTAAGCAGAAACGGACAGGGGGAGAATAGCCTTCAGTCTGACCAAGGCGACCGTTGGGAAAATAGAACCCGTGGTATTTCATACGGGATTCGTGGGCGCAGAGCGGCATATTTTTTCAGGGTTGGTGGTCCATACAATGACCCGGTATATGGCCCAAAAATTAACTCCTAACATGCCGAACCTCTGTGACTCGTAAATAGCTTATAGAGCTAATACATTGTTCGTATTGTCGGTAGCGTAACCCAAAAATCCAAGGAGAACTGTGACAGTATTTTGATAAACGCTTTAAATATTTTTTAACTTATTGTTATTATTTGCCAGAATTAATAATAAATAATAATAAAATAATATACCGCTATACATATAATATTGAATATTTTTATTACTCGTGAACGATTTATCATAAATTATAATATCAGAAAATATTTACGATTTTAAATGTTGTTTTAATTTTTTTATTATAATCGTTGTTAAATAAATCCTATCATTTAACATCGTTACAGTTTATCACTTCTTAATTTTCACGTCTCGTATATTTTCAATTTCACTCTAAAATAATTCTTCAAAACTATACTTTCTATGTTCACAAAATTCAACAAACTCTTGAAATATGACATTGACTGTAATGAATTATTTGAGCATTTGACACAATTTTGAAATACTATTGTAACATCCTATCCAATAGCATTAGCTAACACAAATATGAAATATAATAAAATATGTAAACACATCGAAATTATCATAATATGATTAAAATTGATAAGTATAATTATAAATATAATTCAAACCAAAAAAATAAAAATAAAATTGTTTATTTTGAAATTAGACTAATACATTTCCATATTACTCATTACTAATGATTGTAAGCGAATTAATAGGAGATGTAATAAAAAAGAGAATTCATGCTGTTACAGAAAAAAAATCCAGGCTATATTGATTTTAAAACAATCAATGACATAATGAGTGAGACACCCTTTTAAAAATTTGGAATTATAGCCTTCTGATATTATGCACTTCAAATATGCTCCAATTACATGGGTTGTGTGGAAAGATCATTTAGCTGTTTTAATAATATTTTGAAACCTAATATGCGACATTTACCATTAAATAATTTAAAAGAAATTGTAATAATTCAATGCAACAAATCATTTTTATAATTTAATAATTATAATTCTTTTTTTTTTTTAATTACATTTTTTCCCCGCATACTTGGATGTTTTTAGCACATATTTTATAAATTATACTTCCATATATAAGTACATATTTTAGTATTTTTATTACATATAAATCCGTTCCCTACTCATAAGTTATTTTTATTGTGAATTATTTGTGAAACATCATTTTTAAGTTATTCAATATTAAATAGTGTAACACTTAGATTTTATAACAATGGAAAATATTGTATTTTTGGCATAAAGATAATCACCTTAATTGTATGATAATTTAATTCAAAGTAATAAATGTGTGAAAATATATCTTATATAAAATAGAAGTTTTATTACATAGTTAGATCAATTGTTGGAAGAAAATTATATATTTTTGACTCAATTGTATAATTATTAATTAAGTCAAAAATTTTTTATATCAACATTTTGTTGTGAAAGTGTATAGGTTTTATAAGTTGTACCTAAGAATATTAATAATAATTTAATTCACATATTCATATATCAACTCACTACATAAAATACAAAATAAAAAATATTGAATTAAAATTGCCTATACATAACCCCTTTAATAACCTACCGCTTCCAATCTCTTATCTAATAAAAAACATAATACATTAACAAGGCAAATCTACTTTTATTACAATTTTTAATAATCACCCCATAACAGTTTTAATAAATAAATAAAATAATAAAGAGCCTTAATTACTTACATATAGAAAAAAAATCTAATATTAATAGACATCTGTTTTACTTATTCATTTGTGTTTTAATTTAGTTATGATTTACAATAATATAAAATGTAAATATTTTCATTCATTTACTGAAATATTTCGGTAAGCTTGTAACAAACAAGAATGAATAAAAATATTATTCTAATATAGAAAGCTATTTATATCTGATGGAATTTAAATTAACATTATCATAGAGGCAAGCCAGAGAATATATTTGCAAATTACTGAATAATTTTTTTACAACTTAAATATATTATAATCTAAAGGAACTTACTACAAAAATTACACTCCACAATATACAAAATACAATTCAGGTGTAATATTTAACATTAAAGTAACTTAAAATATAAGTTCAATACATTTTTTTCATATTATTTAATTAATTATTGTACTCGGTGTAGTTTATATATAAAGAAAACTAAATCGAATGATGTGATCCAATAGGCGTCGTAAAGTATTTGGTTTATTAATAATTAAAAACTACTGACTTATGTCATAACATATAAATAAAATATTGCACATATTTATAATTAAATATTAAATGGGATAAAGTAGTATGGGAGGCACTTAATTAATAACAGGCTTAGATACAAACGTTATAATACAAGTTTTTTTAAATATACATATTGTAAAATGTTTTACACTAGTAACATTAATATAATACTAATAATAATATTACTGATACAACTGTGGAAAATCTCTAAGTAATAGAAATATGAGATGTGATCAAAGCATATTTTATCAAGCCTTCTAAAATGGAAAATTATCTTAACACTCTCACAACATTAATATATTATTAATCTTCTAAAAAATATGCTCAAATAAATGTGCACCAAAGAAAACCAATATTTTAAGTTGTATCACAGACAGGGGAAATAAATTAGAAAATTTAATTTAAGAAGATTGAAAAAAAACATTTTGTAGATACCTAATTCTATAATATGAATTTACCAAGGTCTCCACATACTGTCATGTTCATGTTCTCTTTTAACACTGAAATCAATAGGTTCTTCGCCTTGAGGTCTAACTTCACCTCCTTGATTTTGTTGGCAATGTACATAGTGGCTAGGTAACAGGAACACGACTTGCCCATCAGGAAGTTGTGAAGGGATTACCTGAAAATATTCATTAAACATTAAAAATGTGTTCCACGGTTTCGAGTGTTACAATAACATACTTAGTTATGGAAAAAAAAAAAAATCACTAACCTGTACAACAGATAATGGTTGTGTAGGATCATTAGTTGGCGCTACAACAACACTAGCTGTCAGGCCACCACGATCTATTACTTTATCTTCTACACTCACAGATTTACTACGAGTTCGTTTTTTTGGAGGTTCAGATTTTACACGATCATTTTTACTGTCATTAGTGCTACAATTTGATTCTTCATCTCCACCAATAATATCCTAAAAATAAATTGTTTATATTTTAATGTTGTAAAATAATGAATAATACACACAACATAATCTAATCACTATTACAAGTGCAGTAAACAGTTTATGTTTACACCTCCTAGGCATCTGACACCTTGGATATAGTTTAAGAAATGTCCAATAAAGTTATGTTTGATAATTACGACAGAGGTATTATGCTTAACGAATTTTCAAAAAATATTTGTTCATTGTCGCTTGACCATGCCTCAGCGAGTTGAAAGATTCATCGAGACAGGGACGGCGCGAAGGGGTAAGCAATAGGGGCAGTTGCCCAGGGCCCCGCGCCTTAAATTATAATTAAGGCCCCACGGTTCTGATTTAACTGAACTTAAAATATTTTATTAATATAAATTATAACACCCAGCATTTATTTTTCCCAGGAACTCGCAAACTCTAGCACCGTCACTGCATCGAGATACAAATGATTTAATAATAAATTCATCAATAATCTTATACGTGGATTTAAATATATAAATACAATAAATTAAGACGATTATGGTCAAATTATGCATATAACTGTTATATGACTGTACAGAATATTCAACAGTACATGGTTTTCAACACACATTTATTTACTATAACACTATACTCACATCAGGGATAACAACCGTAGAGTTGCTAAAATCCAAATCGATTTCTGATGAACATGTATCTAAGTGTCTTAATAATCGTTGCTTTACAGCTGGTTCTATAACTGTGGAACCTGCAGAAAGTAATGTTCCGGTTCCAGTACTACACATATGTAGTTCAGGACACTCCAAAAATCTAGTGACCTAATTATTCAATGAATAGTAAATGCAATAAGTATTATGAAACTAATAAAAAAATTTAATTTAAATTAATTTAGGCTAAAATTTATATTACCTCTCTAGCACATTCTTGGAAACCAGCCCGATATTTATCCCTCACGTCTGAGCCAAGAACTTTTTGTCGCTGTAAATGTCGTACAGTAAGCTCTAATATGTCAGCTTTTTCCAATTTTGAATGTTTGGTGTTCTGAAAAAAAATACATATGATTTAAATAGGAATAAGTTAAAATTAAAAAACTTGAATAAAATTACCTCTGTCCTGGTAGAGTCTAAAATAAGAGTTTTCAAAAGCGCTAGCGATTGATTTATTCTTGCTCGCCTTCTTTTCTCCATTAGTGGTTTGTTAGCCTAAAAATTAATGAAAATAAAATTGTTTATTATATTTATATAGGTACAATTATAAATTAATTTATAAAACTAAAAATCTGTGTGTGCTAAATCGCGCACAATATAAGTGAAACTTGTAATTCAAATTGGGACATGACAGAAATTGAGGAAATTTAATTCCACAAAACACAATAAACAATATAAGTATATTAAACAGGATTCTTAATTCATCACAAATTTCTGTAATTTAACAATTCATTAATAAAATAATTAGTTTGTGATAGCTGCTATGATATGAGGAATGATATTTAATAAAACAAAAGTTGATGGTGAAGCTAAATCAATTAAGTTATTGTTAATATTCGACTTATATCGACTTGCACTTTTGGTTGAAATCAACCATGGTAGGATATATTGTTTTTTTTTTCGTGAATTATATTCTCAATAAATTTCCACTCGACTTTTTAATATTTTTATTGTTTTTTGCACCTTTTTTCGTCCGCGATACACTTTCATTCCCTGCACATATGTTTTACCCATAGTAGTCAAAAGTAAACCAAAATCAACAAAATAATAACACAACGTACAATACACAGAACTGAATAGTGCAACACGAGGTAAAGTTGAATAAAGCTCGAAGTACAGTGGAACCTCGATAAGTCGAAAACCTTGCCAATTTAAATGGTATCTCCTTGCGAAAACTTCGATTATTAAAAAAAAAAAAAAAAAAAACTATCGATAACTCAAACATTTCGAACACACTGTGTTCATATTCTGCTCTTAAACTCAAAGTCAAAATAAGATAACGAATTATCTATTATTATATTGTAACACTTTACACATTTTTATTATATTTTTTAGTTATAATCTTAAAATAACACTATAATTAGGTACATGTATACACTATATAACCATTTAAAAATATAATACATTTTAAATACTCTTTAATAAATCGAATTTTTTCCCTAAAACCTTGATAACTCGACAATTTGGTAAGTCAAGAACCTCGATAAGTCGAAAAAAATTGCACTTCCCTTGAATTACAATTTATCGAAGTTCCACTGTATATCAAGACACCGCTGTCAATTAAATTATAAACATTGTTTTTCCTGAATTAACATCTAAATTAACAATGTATATTGTTTTACGATTATACGAGACTACGGTGGTACGGCCTACGGCGGCAGTCGGCTGTAGCAAAATATTACTATTAATAGCGCACTGTAGTAGCGGTGGTGGTATTGGCGGCGGCAGTGATAAGCCACGCCCGTAATGCTTTTTGGTCGCAACGGCTAAGCCCACGAATCCGACTTACGCTTCTGCGCCTAAAAAAATTTCACTTCAATAATAAGAATCGTTTATAAAATGTATGTAATTTGGTTTAGTTATTGACTAACGTTTTTTAATAATTAAAATTGTAAAGAAATATTTATTTTTCGAAGTCAAAAATAAAACTGTGATGATATATTATATTTAGGTAATACAGTATATTTGTTAACTGTATAAATTGAAAAATATAACCAGTTGTCAGTGACGTATTTCTGGAAAAGTCCCGGGTTTCATTCCGCCTCCTCGAAAAAAAAAATTGTTTCAAAATCATAAATGATTTGCTACGAAGATACACAGAAATACAACATTAATTTATACCATGTGGTTGTAATGTTTGTATACAAATATTTGTATAATAATATAATTATTAATTCATACCTTATATGTATTTTTATAAAATTATAAAAATTTTATTTTAGTAAAATCACTTTTTTTTGGAAAAATTTAAGCCCTCCACACAAAAAATCATAAAAAACATACTTTATAACTTTATGCTAGTTAACATTTTGTAAATACAATTTCTTTATTCAATAGTTAATTATATTATTTATATTATTATTATGGTTGTATATTTTCAAAACATTTTATTTAGCTATCCAAAATAAAATTGCAGCCTCAACTCTATTTTGCCATTATAGTTTACCAAAAACAAGCAAATTCTGGTTGTTTATTTTCTCTATGAAACATCAGCAAGTAATTATTTATTTTCATAATTAGTTAATGATTAATTATAGGTAAGATAGTTAACTCAATTTATTAAAATATAAGGAAAAGTAAAAATAGCTAAATGGCAAAAAATAAAAATAAAAAATTAATTACAAAAAGATCCGTGATAACAAGCTATATAAAAGGATAAAAGTTAAAATGGTTTGGCTTGTCAAACGGAGAGGAGCAACAAGCAAAATCAGAGCATAGATTTGCAACCAGTAGGGAAGAAACTAAGGGGAAGACCAAAAAAACATTGAATAGATGCGATCAAACAAGACCTAGATAGGTTAGAAATTACGAACTGGGAAGAGTTAGTCCAGGATCGCGGAAGTTGGAGAGCATTGACAGAGGCGGCAAAAACTCTTACAGAGTCATGAAGCCACATGATGATGATGATGAAAAATAGCTAAATAACAAAACCGGTAGAATTACTAAAGAAAAGCAATGAAATGATGATCGGGATTGAGAAGCTATTAAATATAGTGAAAATATCGTAAGGGTTAAAATTATGGTTAGAATAAATGGACGTTTATGGGTATCAAGCACGGGAAACTAAAGGAGGTGCAGGGAAGCACAAAATTAATTTTCGGTGCAATATGTGCAGAAGAAAGAATTATTAAGGTTAAGTTTGTAGGAATGATACGAAAGAAGATGCCGTTTTGATGTACTCAATGCATAAAGACGTGTTTGAAGTACCTATGCCCAATATTAGTTTTTTGCAAACTCCTAACACTGTATTTTATCGACCTACATGAAAAAATGTTAAGTTTTAAAGTTTTTGAAAAATATTGACTTTGTATAGTTGTACAAAAAAACTGTACACATACTCAGTGGCGTAGATACAATTTTTTTCTGGGAGGAGGTGTTTAAGAGTAAGTTTTTAAGTGTTCTTAGTATATCTTAAAACGAGGTCATATGTAATAACATTACATTTAAAATAGTATTATTATTATGTCCCGTATTTAATGAAAATTATTTTGTTACTCAATTTTTAATATATACCCTATCATAATAAAATCAAAATATTTTACTATTAAATGTAAATATTAATAAATAATAATTAAATATCATTAAAAAAAAATCTGTGGAGGGGTGAAAACCCCTTACACCCTCCCCGTAAATACATCACTGCACATACTTATAGTTAATATAAATAAATTTTAGATAAAAATAGATTTTATGACCTTGTTTCGATCTCTGAGACACTGAGACCTTTCCTATCTGGGCATACCGCTACCCATTTACCTTTATAATATGCAAATATTCTTTATAGCAATACAAGCAAATTTTTTGACTGATGCACCTATTGATTATTAGTAATTGGAATAATATATCATAATGTTGTATAGTAATACCAAACGATACACAGTATATTGTATATATATATCCATCGAGTAGTGCCGTATCCACGGGGGAGGGGGATGGTCAGAACCCCTCCATGAACCTGAGATGGTAAATTAACTTTTACATGAAACACGGTTTTTTTTTTAACATTTTTATATTTTAGAATTTTGACTTGGAAATCATATTATTAGTTTATATAAACACTATAAACGTATTATACGATCGCTGCACACACACACACACGCGCGCGCGTCATAATATTATGATCATATTTAGATACTTTACTACTACTTTGATAATTTTTGCTTGGAAACATATTATTTAGGTTTTCTACAACGGTTAATTCTAAATCGCTCGTCTGGTCCCTATAATTGAAATAAAAGAGATATCATAGTCTGTATTCAAAGTTTATTTTGAGTATACCTATTGCATTCACGGCTCGCTGATCATTGAACACAAGCTCCTTATTGTGTAAAACTAATAGTTATTAGTTAATAGTTGGTCGTTGCCCGTTGGTGTCTCACTGTTTTACTTACTACTCGTTTATTCGTTTATATCTGACAATTGTATTCCATTATGGTAAGATATTCTTAAAATTTAATTTTTATTATACCTAAGTCATTGGACAGAAAATATTCTAATGTCTAATATTTATGTTCCTATATTAGTTCCTAGTTCCTTAATAGCTATTATTATAGGAAAATTCTCTAACAAATAAGCAGACTAGAAAAATTAATTTTTTTTTCTACCCGAGTCAAAAAACCTAATGACTTAAAAATCAATACAAATAGTAATCAAAATGACAGTGATAAGATTAAATATATATAAATTTGCTGAACCCCCCCTCCTCCCACCATAAAAAGTTCCTGACTACGCCACTGCCATCGAGGCTAGCGCATGTGCACGTATTGTACTTACAATATTTTGATAAAGTTGGGAAAAACATCGCTGAACCACGTGCATGTATCCGTGTACGGGCGAGCGTATACCATACACGCGTGTGCGTGTGTTTGTAGTGTACACGGAACTGTCATCGTAGCCGTCCCACAATCAGTTGCTCGAAACAACACACAAATATATATATATATATATATGACCGGTGGCGGTAGGAGGGTATAAAGTGATGTGTGTATATACGTAGTGAGTACACGTCGCTGCGCGCCTTCGGGGACACGAGAGCGAGAGAGAGAAATCGAGCGAGAGAGCGGCCGGGTCATGATTTATGCAGGCGTGCGGGGCGCGTGCATACACACACAAGTGCACGCAGACGTTCACAAGCGCGCCACTACACAAACATCGAGTGTGGCCGCCTCCGACGGACGGCGACGTGGTGGTATGCGAGTGTACGCGTGTCCGTGAACGTACGTAAAATCATAGTAGTGTGTGTGCGTGCGGTGGCGACGTGCGTTGGTGGTGGTGTCGGCGGCGGTACCGGCGACGAGGAAGTGAGGAAGGGATCCGTGCGCTGTCGGGGGCTTATCCGTGTCGTGACTTGACGTCGTGCCGCTTTAAGTCCACCACCGCCGCCGCCGACGTGTTCCAACGCTACCCACACGTCTACGACGGTACGGTACTGTACGTACAAACACTGTACACTCTCACGCACGCATATAATGCGTGTTGTACGTATGCACGCGTAC